GCCTTTGAATTGTGGTGTTGAGGATGAGTTCCAAATATTCCATGGATTTCCAAAAGAACAAACAGATGTGTCTTGGAGAAAGTGCAGCCAGAGTGCTCCTTAGAGGCAAAGATAATAAAACTTCATTTCACATGCATTGGATATGTTTCTAGGAGAGACTATTGGAAAGAGACATCATGTTCAGAAATGTGAAGGGCTGGCAAAAGAAAGGAGACTCTCAGCCAGATAGATTGACACAGTGACTGCTACAGTGGGGCCAATCATATCAGAAATTGTAAGGATGGCATAGGATAGGACAAGGTTCAGATCTGTTGTTTTTGGGATCACTTTGAGTGGTACTCAACTTTATGGCACCTAACAACAGCAACATTATATTTGCATGAAGTTAATCATACTGCAGGTAAATAGGCAATAACAATATTGAGTGCTAGGGTCTGTATAGAAGAAGCAAAGAATGAGGGAAATCTATGAGAGGAGTTGAGATCTAAAATTGCTTCCTAAATGGTGAGAAGGGCTTTACTGAAAGTGACCCAAAAATTTAAATATGTCAAGGCTTGGATACAGAGAGGATGACCACATGTCTGGAGAGTTTAGCATAGGCCTAAACTGTTAGTATGAAGCAGGAAAGGGGTAAAGCTGCAGAGCTAGATAGAGGCCAATTCATGAAGAATCTTACACATCATATTACATTGAATTGTCATTGTTGTGTGTGGTTGAGTTGGAACTGACTCACAGCTGAACCTCCAGTGGCTTTCAAAGGCAGTTAGTCATATAGGAATAGATTGGTCATCCTCCTGTGAAGCAGCTGGTAATTTTGAACCATGTGCTTTTGGGATTGCAGTGCAGTTTCTTACTACTAGACCACCAGTGCTTTCTTTACATTGGGTTCTTGTGTTCTATTGAGTCAGATCTGACTCATAGCTGACACTTCAGTGGGTTTTCAGAGGCAGTAAATCACATGGAATGAGATTGCCTATTATTCTCCCACAGAGCAGCTGGTGGATCAAACCTCTTGCTTTAGGGATTTCAAGACAGCTTCTTACCACTGGGCCACCAATTGGTCCTAAAGATTAGCCTAACAACCTTCACTCCTTAGAAAGGACTGTTTGCATTGTTGACCCTAGCTTGTCTTTGCGTACATAGTTCTCTACACTATGATAAAGCTTGTCCTGAGTTAAAATGATGGTTCATGCCATTTAGATTGTGAAATCTTGATTTCTTCTTCATAGCTGATAACACTGGCATGTGCTGTGCAGGAGGAACCTATGTGACCAGTCCTCAATAAAAGCCTTGGATATTGAATATCTCTGCGTATCTTTGGGTATCTCCCCTGGGCAGAAACTTTGAGCTCATGCTTCTCTATTTTTGGAGCTGCATTAAGAGTACCCACTTTAGAGAACTGTTTAAAAGGGTTATATGATTGCATATTAGTGTCATGACAGGAGTCCAGAACGAAGGCTGCATAGTGGAGTGGATGGGGAGAGGGATTTTATAACAATGAAAGAATTTTTTTTTTTTTTTGCTTTTTAAAGAGAAGAGCAAACTGGGGGGAAGATTGGCCAGGGAGAAAAGTATAACAATGAATGAATGGAAATCCAAAGCCTCTGTAAACTTTCATTAAAATGAATAAAAAAATAATAAAATAGAGTACCCACTTTGTGAGGCCTCATTAGAAAGATAGAGCTTGAAGAAACTTACATGACTATTTCTCCAGACTCTTCCCTTGTCACTCATCTATACAT